TGATGTGAGTGAGGTGTTGTCGAGGTCGGGCAGGAGATTGAGTGCGTCTTGGAGGTGGTAAATAACTTGATGGTTGACAGGGAGGGGATTTGGTGAAAGTGATGAAACAGATGTAGAGGGTGAAGTAGAATTGAATGGGGTTACGGTGGACTGGGAGTTAGCTACCGCATGGAGGTAATCGCGAATTTCGGATATACGCGAGGTGAGTCCACGAAGTGAGGAGAGTTGTTCCGCGACGCGAGTGGTGAGAGTTGTGGTAGTGCTGTGTTTGATGTCGCGTAAGAGATGCTCTACACCAATTTCCTCTGCTTCTTCTGCTTCGATAGCGGAGGGGACATGGAAGAACGTTTTCCGGGTTTCGGTACCGTCCTTTTTTCGTTGAAAGTTGACATGTGAGAAAAGATTAGTGGAATGATGTGACCACGTACGTCTTTAATCTCTTCGACGGCAAAGTAGGCGTTGGTTGGAATGCCAACTTCCTGTTGACGAACATCCACGATGACCATCACTGGTCGAGGGATGAATCGCTTGAAGAGGTCATTAATCTCTTGGTCCGACCCTCGTAGCTTCGGCCCGGTATGATACCACCCGATCATTCTTTCTCTAGCTTTTATCATAGAATATGCTCAACAGAGACCGTACGCAATTTAGCAAAGAGAACCGCCTACCATTCACTTTCTTGAACATCTGCCACATCCCCTCGATATAATTATGGTCCAAAAACCAAGTCTTACTGTCCTTCTCATCTTCCTCGAAGGGAATAGCGAAAGAGTTGGCGACATTTACAGTCTTCCCATGATCTTGCCCCAAAAGAACGCCAATGACACGCTTATTCGGCGCGCGCGCGGCTGCACGCGCGTGGTGGTCTGCAACAGACAACAGCACCAATGGGTGAACGACTGTGGAGATTCAACGGAGTTCCCCATGAGATAGTGACGGGCATGTTGTTTTGGCACAGTAACAGAGTCGATAAACAAGCGGGTGCTCGGAATTTAGTTCTTGGAGGAGGTTGATGACATGCAACACGTACTAACTGTCGTGCTGCCAAGATCGGTGAGCTATATGGAATACTTGTCAGAAAAGCTTTTTGGGATACATTTTTGTCGAATATAGAACACCCCCTACAGACCTGCTGCGTTGATGTTGCTGGCATGTTTCACTGTGATTCAGCTTTAGGGCGTTCCTAGAGGCTTCAGTGGGTGGTTGCGCGACGCGCAAGTCCTATTCGGGATATTCCGATTCCCACGCTCTTTGAATCAGCCCAACGGCAATTTACAGTCACCCTCTGGAGACAGCAGTGAACGGCCGCGCTGTATCGAAAGGAGAAGGGGGGAAGCGGGGAAGGGGGTGTGATTTTTCTTCCCTTAAATCTGACGAGTCTGCTGTTAAGTACTCGATTGCTTACCTAATATGTGGCCACAGAGATTGATTTCTCCGTGGTGGCTCGAGAGTGCTCTCTGGGGCTCCCATTGATTATGAGTGACTGCTTTGAATAACTCTCCAGTACCTAATGAAGATGTAGGGAAGGTCTTCCCCTTTGTGCTCATGTAGTGCATTGTCCAGAGCTCTGAACGTCTGGATCGATCGTTTCCACACCTTCAGTACGCTGTCGCTCCTTTTATGGGAAGAAACGCAATCCCTATGCCTCTGATGCTAAGGCGCCGTTCTTTTCTACTGGTGCTGGCCTAAACTGCACGAATGGATGTATGATTTGCTGGCGTTGCTTGTGTGAACCATCCATCCTGACCTCGCAGTGGATGACGCCCATTCCATGACGCATCTCTCGTCCAGAGCCAGCTGCCTCCGGACCCAAATTCTAAGGGGATGAATATATAATCCCGTTTATTCTACCTGCGCCCCCTTCCCTAAACTCCCATCTCTTCCTCTCGACTGGAACGAATTTCGCATACACACTAACGGCCAGTATCCGTTAAAATAACTTCTTGAGATGCGTTTCTTCACCGTCATCGCGTTCGCCTTTTCTCTCCCTCTCTTCATCGTCGCTTCTCCCCTGCCTCATGATGGCGGTTCTAGGTACGCTCCCCTTTATTGTCCCGTCGTCGCGCTAGGCGTTACATATCTCTGGCAAACGTAGTTATTCTGGGGCAACTGGCGAAGCTAACGGTGGGAGCGTGTCTGGCGATGGTGGGATTCATCTCGTCAAACTTCTCTCTCACAATGGTGCGCAAGGACGCGTATCCCTAGGGAAATAACCCATTTCTGATCCTCGCGTTAGCCCAAAATGGTGGAAAATCCTCGACGGGCCTTTCATCGGCCGGACCGGGTGGCAATGAGTATGTGACATTTCTCATGTTCCTCAACGTGGTGGACCGCATCTTCTCTGTGGAAGCTGCTTTCCGTCTTGTATTTTACGCGCTGTGACGCGTCTCGCCTTCCCTCGCGGACTGGATTTATCTTTGCCGATGCTCATCTTCATCGTTTCGTTTCCCATCAGTCTTGTTACTAACCGTAAGAGTGGAAAGCATGGAACAAGCAGCGGCTTTACGGGTGGCTCTGCTTACAGCGGCACACCCGGTCAGTCCACGACCACTCGATAACCAACTCTCCTCACCGTCTTACTACTCTAGGTCCTTCTGGAGGAGGAAATGCACAGACCGATAAATCTATCTCCGTTCTGGATGTTCTTTCTGATAACGCTGCCCCTGGAGGCGAATCCACCTCTGGGCCTGCTCACGGTGGGAGTGCTGGAAACCAGATTTGAGCTTAGGGCAAGCCACGTCTTACTTTCGTTTCCTTCCTATCACACTTCGATACGGATCAAGAATTTTCGTCTTCTGGTTTCATCAAACTGCATGTGTATCTTCTTTCCGACGAGATGGACGTGATGGACTTGTGCGCATTGGCTTTACACATACACATTCATACATTCACCTGTACACCTACATACACACTCTGCATTGCTACATTGTCGGCATTCTTGTTCATCTTAGAGAGATTTCAATATAAGTACCGTTGGGCACGAGCAGCACTCGACAGTATACCAAGTGCAGTTAATCCGTCGGCTGTGCCATGGCTAAGCAGAACAGAGCCCAGGGTCCAGCCCAGACTTCGTTTCATAACCGAACCAATGGACGTCGAGATCATCGGAGTAGAGCCACTTTCCAGTTTAAAGCCAACTGATCAAGGCGCGAGGCAGGCGCAGGGATTGCGGACGACGCACGAATGGAAGTTGGGCCTTAAGCGAAGAGCGGGTATTGATAATAATTTCGTCACTACCAGGAACAACCATCCTCACGTACATACATAAGTTATCTTCGCGGAAGTACTACAGTTCTACCATTCGGTCGAAATCGACGGTTCGTTATGTGAAGTTCATCAACAATGTTCTAACTCGACGAAGTGCCCATTCTTTCCGTCCCAAACGGCCTCTGCTGTCCCTAGAGCGAACGATGGGCTATCGTCGTCATTCCCCTCCGAATCCAGGTACACAGGGTTCGACGAGTCGGGTGAGAAATGGCTTGATCTGAATTTGTTAGGCATGGCGACGAGGAAGGTTACTTCTAGCTTGTCCCGGTCTGAAACGGGGATGGAGGGTGATGGATTGGAGTGGGTAGGATGTCGTAATGTCTCTGGGAGCGAAGAATGGGGACGCGTCAGTGGAGAGCTTTGAAAGGTAGCTTCGTCATTAGGCTGGGGTACGCCGCTGTGAGGCCGTGAATGCGAATGGCCACTCCGTCCGGCGGATACTATCCTCGCCGATAATGGCTAGTAAGGGGGGACAAATTTGCCAAATGTCGCGTTAGGGTACAATGGGACAAAGGAACGGATTTACGAACCTGGGCGTCATGAAGCGTTGTACAGAGCATGGGATGTATGCGAACATCCCAGAGGCGAGGGGTCTGTGGCTCCGACGATACTCCTTCTTCCAAACTAGTCTCATCTGAACTCCAATGGGTATGGCCATCTGGGAGATGAGGGTCACACCGGCATAAGGATGCATGGATCATGGGTTCATCCCGGAAAGTCATGTTTTTCTGAGCTGACCTTACTCCCAGTTTCAGCGTTTCCCTCCAGATATTATCGTTAACCCCAACGGTCTTATGTAGCTTTCTGTTCAAAGGGGTAATGGAAACCTTCCTTTCATGCATGACATGAAGCGAACGATCCTGATCGACACGGATGGGTCTAGCCAGTGCCTGACCGCGAGAGCCCTCTCTTCATATACAAACCGTCATTGAAGCCGGGCTGAACTCGGACCTCGAAAGTGGATGGCCCCGGATATTCAAAACATAGTGGCTAGTTCCCTCCTTTCGAGGCAAATAAGGTTACTTATATAAGCTCGGATATGAAAATTGATGATCCGCGAATGTCATATGATGGGGAACTTGGAACTCGGATTGGGAGGAAAGATTGTTTGTCCCCCTCCCTCATACACTGCGCGATGATGCATTGAACAGATCGGTTGGGTAGTAGTATTTTTTACACACTCGTACCCAGATATTACAAAGACATTTCGGCATTGCGTGTCGCGCGTCACGTCCACGGGTATGGGTTCTGGTTTTTTTGCACCCGTGACTTCGTGACAGTGCTTGCGGTTGGCAGTTTTCCCGATGACTGGCGTAAAGTCCAAGCTGGGCGCACATGGGGAAATCGTCAGCACAGAGTAAGTATGCGGTATCTGGTTTTGTATATAGTCCTCGGGTATCTGGGACGTGTTCGGCGCCTGCTTCATGCACAATAGCGCCCTTCTTACTGAGATTGCGAACTCTACTTGATCGACCGCCAGTGTTGTACCCGGCCCGGATCTCCGATTCCCCTTTCCTTCCTCGTCCCCGGCCCTTGGCTGATTCTACATTGCCTATAAATCTGGTCCTGCAAGTTTGTCTTCATGCAGAACTGGCTCAAGGTGTTGTAGCGTAAAGACAGTTGCGCCGAGACTTCTGAATTAAGGACACGACCCGGTGACCCCCCTGGTAAGTACAACCAACAAGGGCATCTTTAGAGCCGAGCATGGCATCCAAATTCCGCAACGATGTGCTGCATCTTCGCATTTCGACATCATGACATGACTGTAGCTGACAGAAAGCAGGAACAATTGTAGGAGCATGGGAAAAAGAGATTCCAGGCAGACCTTGCAAGCAAGGTAATTCATGCGAGTACTTGGGGGAAAAATCCATTCGGACATGTTCCGTAGCTGCCGATTGTGAGGTTGCCAAGGCAATTAACTGCACGCTTGCTGCATATTTCTAACCAGCAAGATGAAGCATCAACACCCCAACAACTTTGTAGTTAGGAGCTTCGATTCATGAAGCCAGCGTTGGAGCCGTCGTCGTAGTCGCTGAAGGCGCGGCATTGGCCAATAATTCCTTGCGCCGCCAGAAATGATGTATGGAAAGCGCGATAAGAATGGATCCAACAATAGCGCACAGGGCAGTTAATACATGTGCAGCAGGAGCGCTAAGGTTCCAAAGCGTGAGGCATTGCTGGTGATAAGATGCATGAAACGAACACGCACTAGGCAACCAAGTTGTATGTTTCCACGTACCGTGTGGCATTTCGTAAATACGATGGCCCAACGATAAGCGTGGAAGGGGCGAGGGTTGCTTGAAATAATCTCTGTAATGAAAACATTGGAGAAAATAGACCCTGTACATTTTGGATCACTTACAACGGCCTCTTCGGCATATCCAACCACGGAGTTTGCGTCCCTAAGTATGCCGTCCTGTAATGATGTGTCTATTTCACCCCCAATCTCATCTAAACCTGCAGAGTTCACGATGGAACCAGCCAAGGCAAAGCTGATCGCGTCTCCGATGCCTTCCACCCGGGGATCACTACTTGTCCAACCTATCCTGGAACTGCATGTCAATATAAGTGCGAATACGCTTGCTCGAACGCCTTACCCGCTAGGACCCCAACTGAGGAATGAGACGTTGCCTCGATCCACGACATCGTAAATGAATGGGGTGCCACTGTCGATCGCGAGTGTAACGGTGAGATCGTGCTCCTCTATCATGCTGTAGCAGAAGACCATCGAGTAGCTTGATATGTTTTTTAAGAAAGAGAATGCTACGGGAGAGAAATACAGCGGGTTACTTGCGATTGGGTGGTTGTTACCAGGGTCAATACTTCGCACACATCCAAAAGGGGCGGGAACCATCCAGCTGTCCCATGTTGTGCCATTGGAGATGACATTGGATGTGGCGGAGCAGTTATGGGAAAGAGTCCCCGATATGTCGTACGAGTCGGTGGTGTCCGGACCCGATATCACTGGTGATGGAACCGGGGCACATCTGGCTTGCACCGACAATCCCCTGAATGTGAGGTTCACCTCCCCATCTTGGTCAGCTGCACTTGGATCAGCGAGCTGAAGGCAACAATGATCAAAGGCAGCACAACGGTGAGCCGAATAACGAATACCCACAGTAAAGCTTGGCACCACCCAGGTGTTCCCAGTCTTGCTAGTGGTGTCATTAAGAATGAATGGAGAATACAGAGCACCGATCCGGCCTAGAGAGATAACTCAGTGCCTGTTGACGAACTCCTTATGATCTTGACTAACTAACGGCGCCCACAAACTGGAACGTCGGATCAGTTGCCATTGGTGAATGGTACACCACAGAGTCACGCACCCCTGCAGCATCCACGAACGGGGTGAATTCGACATTGTCATAGCCCCAACCCGTTTTGCCTGCGATACGCACTCTCGCTTCCTGCGGCCGGGGCACCACAATAATCTGGAAATATGCTCCAGCCAGGGAATGGAAAATACCACCGTGGGCTACGATCAAGGGGAGTATGGAGACCACCCAAAGGCGCTTCCTAAGATTAGCCCGACCCGGACCACGAGAGTAAGTATGAACTGCGAACAAGGCACGTCAGATTTAGAATCATACCTGTTCTGTTCGTAGGGCTATCGTAGTGCACATTAGCGTTATTGAACAACTATGAGTGATTAGGCGTACTTTGATCAGCTTGGTAACATAGGGCGCTGTGAACCAATGGAATAATAAAGTGAAAATCATAGCTGGCCCGAATGACTGAAGAACCCCTTTTCAGTCGCCACGCATATGGTCATGAAGTAGGAAAGCCATACCTTCAGGAACTGTCTAGCGTGAGAGGGATCGATGTAGGTGAGTTTGATACGAAATCCTAGCGAGGATGAATGAGCCTGACTATTCATGCACCAGAGTCGGTAGTTTCTACCTGACTTGTGTGTTTTCTTGAATAAAACTTCCGATCCGACAGCGATAGCAATGAAGGCGAGGCCCAATGGAATTGTTGTTCTCCACCAATGGGACTTGGGCAGCTCTGATGTTTCAGGGTTGTTCTCGTGTATGTCTTTCTGAGATGGGGGGAGGTCGGTCTCAGCCTTTTCCACATCAGTTATCTCCACAGGATATCCTAGACGACGGGTGAATGGAGGTGCAGCAGTGGTGAGTTTATCACGCTCACCACTACCAGTATCATCAGGTGTAAGCAATTGTAGGTGGACGTCGGCTACGGAAATAGATCAACGATACAACGCTTGAGCAAAGGAACAGACGCTAACCGTTTTCGTCTGCCATCGTTCCGGGGGTGGGGCAGACCTAACCACTCTCTCAGTTGACTTTTATCCTTTATGAACTTAACACTTTAGAGAGAAAAACGGAGCAATGGTTGAACACAGGAACCCCGTTCACAAAAAGGAGAAAGGGACACCCTCATCTCGGAGCCGCTGGTACGCCCGCCTCAACCCTCTGCTTGCTACTGTACTGCTGCTTCCAGGGTCTATCCTCCAATACAGAGCTACTAGAGACCTTAAACCCGTGGGGTGCTCGTTCCTCGCACACCCACGCGTTCTTCGGTCTCTAGCTCCTGCGGAGGGCATCGGGGCTGCGCCCCGAACCCCCCTGGGGCGTTGCCCCAGACCCCATTGGGGCTCCGCCCCATGCAACGACATCCTTGGTATTATTGTTCCCCATGTGCTAAAGAAATAATGAGATATATGGTGATTATTTATGAACCAAGGGGCCAGCCCCTTGAACCCCAGCTCCTGCGGAGAGCTATTGGGGCGTTGCCCCAAGCCCCACTCCTGCGGAGAGCCTGGGGCTGCGCCCCAAACCCCCCTGGATATATTTGATTATTTTTTACACCAAGGGGCCAGCCCCTTGAACCCCTGCTCCTGCGGAGGGCCATCAGGGCGTTGCCCCGAACCCCACTCCTGCGGAGAGCCTTGGGGCTGCGCCCCAAACCCCCCCCCCCCCCCCATTAATCATGTACACAAATGAGAAATGCCTTTTCCCCTGTTGACAATGCACTGGAAGTGGGGCCTGCTACACACAAATTACATGGACCACATACCCACCTTACACCCTTGAGCACATTTGTGTATTTTTATTTGCTGTTTTTCTGGCTATTTCCACAAATTTACCATGAAATTTGTTCATTCTCTATCAGGTTTTTTGCTGTTATTTATAAAGCAGTGTTCCCCATGTTGCCATGATTTTTTTTGATTTTATTTTATAGAGAGCACCTTTTATTTTTCTATCTTTTTATTCTTTCCTGTCCCCTGTTGCCGTGAATTATCTGGATTTTAATTTGTATAGAATACCTTGGTATTATTTTTCTTGGTTTTCCCACATTGCCGCAATTTTTTCAGATTTTATTTTATATAGAATACCTTGGTTTTATTTTTGGATGTTTCTATTTCATGTTGTCCCATGTTGCCGTGAATTTTTCGAATTTTTACCTTATCTGGAACCTTAGTTCATTTGGTTCTGTTGTTGGAAACTCCGGATTTTAACTTACTTACTTCCTATTTATTTATCTATTTTACATGCTAATAGCGAAAATACAAAGAAAAAAACAATAACTTATACAACAAAAATACTACTACTACTATTACTATTACTATAATTATTTATTCACTATTTACTACTATTATTATTATTATTATTATTATTATTATTATTATTTACGACTATTATGACCTATTTATCTACCTATTTTATCTATTTATCTATCTATTTCATCTATTTCATCTATTTTACATGCCAAAGTCACATGGGAACAAAAAAGAATTGCTCCCATGGGGGGGTGTAAACCGGTTTTGAGTGGGGGTATTAGTACTTTTTCGCATATGTCTGTGCGCGGAAAAAGTTGTGGGAGGTTACGCTCAATTGCTCACATGAATTTCCTCAAACTAAACATATACACGTGATTTTTCACATAAACCTATCATATCTCTGTCAGTTCTCATCCGTTTCTCCTCGGGTTTTTTTCAATTGGCGCGTCTTGATGTCCTCTACATGTTGTATTATTAGTCCGACCCATCGTTCCGCGATCCAGAGGAGATGATGGCGATTTTACTCATTTCCCATGCACACACTGTATGGTAATCTATTATATCTCGCTGAATACTGCATCAAATGTTCTATAGTTTTGCGTCCTATCTTATATATTATTAACGCAAAGATTTCATATTTTTTTATATTTCTTTTGACATCCGTGAGGCGCTGGAAGACGTTTCCCACGCACAGACCATGCGCAGAGCAGACACTACATTTGTATCTCTGTCAGTTCTTATTCGTTTCTCTTCGGGATTTTTTCAACGGGCGCGTGTTAATGTCCTCCACAATTTGTATTATTACCTCAACTCGATATTATGCGATTTTGAGGGTGCCAAGTGGAAATTAATCACATAATTTATTATATCTCGCTTGATACTGCGCCGAATGTCCTGAAATTTTGCGAACCATTTTATATAGTATTAACGCAGGTACCTGGTATTTTTTCATATTTTAAAACATCTGTAGGGTGCTGGGGACCGTTTCCCACGCACAGATCAGCCGCGGAGCTGACACTGGATTGGTATCTCCCTCAGTTCTTGACCGTTTTCCGTCGGGCTTTTTTTAATGGGCCCGGATTAACTTTCTCTACATTTGGTATTGTTAGTGCAAGTCGTGAATCGGCGTGTATGAGGAAGTAGCACGATTTTTCCACAAATAAACCATGTACATTAGTATCTCTGTCAATTCTCATTCGTTTTTCGTCGGGTTTCTTTTGATGGGCTCGGACCACCTCCCTGGTTATTTTCTATTATTGGTGCAAGCCGCGAATAAGCGCGTATGAGGCGGTAGGACATGTTTTTACATTTTTTCACAAAAAAACCATGTACATTCGTATCTCAGTCAATTATCATTCGTTTTTCGTCGTTCTTTTTTGTACATGCTTGTATTAACGCCCTCATTCTTTTATATTATTGGCGCACATCGCGAATGAGGGTGTATGAGGCGGTGGGATGTTTTTTCACATTTTTTCACACAAAAACACATGTACATTCGTATCTCTGTCAAATCTTGTTCGTTTTTCGTCAAGTTTTTTTCAATGAGCTCTTCCAAACAGCCTCTCTATACCGTATTATTAACCTTAGTCATCAAACAGCTTGTATGAGGCCGTGGACACTTTTCCCACACTCAAAACACGCGCTGGCATGGGCCACACCCCATATCTCTCTCAGTTTTCAACCGTTTTGCATGGGGTTTTTTGCGATGGGTTCATGCCAACGTCCTCTCCATTCGTTATTATTGCCTCACTACAGGTCATCCAATGCAATGGCAAGATGCCACCTTGAGGCCTTGAGTGTGGGAAAAGCTTATATAATTACTTGGAATCAATACATTCAACCTGACTTCATTGTAGACTAGAGACCTTAAACCCGTGGGGTGCTCGTTCCTCGCACACCCACGCGTTCTTCGGTCTCTAGCTCCTGCGGAGGGCATCGGGGCTGCGCCCCGAACCCCCCTGGGGCGTTGCCCCAGACCCCGTTGGGGCTCCGCCCCATGCAACGACATCCTTGTTATTATTGTTCCCCATGTGCTAAAGAAATAATGAGATATATGGTGATTATTTATGAACCAAGGGGCCAGCCCCTTGAACCCCAGCTCCTGCAGAGAGCTATTGGGGCGTTGCCCCAAGCCCCACTCCTGCGGAGAGCCTGGGGCTGCGCCCCAAACCCCCCTGGATATATTTGATTATTTTTTACACCAAGGGGCCAGCCCCTTGAACCCCTGCTCCTGCGGAGGGCCATCAGGGCGTTGCCCCGAACCCCACTCCTGCGGAGAGCCTTGGGGCTGCGCCCCAAACCCCCCCCCCCCCATTAATCATGTACACAAATGAGAAATGCCTTTTCCCCTGTTGACAATGCACTGGAAGTGGGGCCTGCTACACACAAATTACATGGACCACATACCCACCTTACACCCTTGAGCACATTTGTGTATTTTTATTTGCTGTTTTTCTGGCTATTTCCACAAATTTACCATGAAATTTGTTCATTCTCTATCAGGTTTTTTGCTGTTATTTATAAAGCAGTGTTCCCCATGTTGCCATGATTTTTTTTGATTTTATTTTATAGAGAGCACCTTTTATTTTTCTATCTTTTTATTCTTTCCTGTCCCCTGTTGCCGTGAATTATCTGGATTTTAATTTGTATAGAATACCTTGGTATTATTTTTCTTGGTTTTCCCACATTGCCGCAATTTTTTCAGATTTTATTTTATATAGAATACCTTGGTTTTATTTTTGGATGTTTCTATTTCATGTTGTCCCATGTTGCCGTGAATTTTTCGAATTTTTACCTTATCTGGAACCTTAGTTCATTTGGTTCTGTTGTTGGAAACTCCGGATTTTAACTTACTTACTTCCTATTTATTTATCTATTTTACATGCTAATAGCGAAAATACAAAGAAAAAAACAATAACTTATACAACAAAAATACTACTACTACTATTACTATTACTATAATTATTTATTCACTATTTACTACTATTATTATTATTATTTACGACTATTATGACCTATTTATCTACCTATTTTATCTATTTATCTATCTATTTCATCTATTTTACATGCCAAAGTCACATGGGAACAAAAAAGAATTGCTCCCATGGGGGGGTGTAAACCGGTTTTGAGTGGGGGTATTAGTACTTTTTCGCATATGTCTGTGCGCGGAAAAAGTTGTGGGAGGTTACGCTCAATTGCTCACATGAATTTCCTCAAACTAAACATATACACGTGATTTTTCACATAAACCTATCATATCTCTGTCAGTTCTCATCCGTTTCTCCTCGGGTTTTTTTCAATTGGCGCGTCTTGATGTTCTCTACATGTTGTATTATTAGTCCGACCCATCGTTCCGCGATCCAGAGGAGATGATGGCGATTTTACTCATTTCCCATGCACACACTGTATGGTAATCTATTATATCTCGCTGAATACTGCATCAAATGTTCTATAGTTTTGCGTCCTATCTTATATATTATTAACGCAAAGATTTCATATTTTTTTATATTTCTTTTGACATCCGTGAGGCGCTGGAAGACGTTTCCCACGCACAGACCATGCGCAGAGCAGACACTACATTTGTATCTCTGTCAGTTCTTATTCGTTTCTCTTCGGGATTTTTTCAACGGGCGCGTGTTAATGTCCTCTACAATTTGTATTATTACCTCAACTCGATATTATGCGATTTTGAGGGTGCCAAGTGGAAATTAATCACATAATTTATTATATCTCGCTTGATACTGCGCCGAATGTCCTGAAATTTTGCGAACCATTTTATATAGTATTAACGCAGGTACCTGGTATTTTTTCATATTTTTAAAACATCTGTAGGGTGCTGGGGACCGTTTCCCACGCACAGATCAGCCGCGGAGCTGACACTGGATTGGTATCTCCCTCAGTTCTTGACCGTTTTCCGTCGGGCTTTTTTTAATGGGCCCGGATTAACTTTCTCTACATTTGGTATTGTTAGTGCAAGTCGTGAATCGGCGTGTATGAGGAAGTAGCACGATTTTTCCACAAATAAACCATGTACATTAGTATCTCTGTCAATTCTCATTCGTTTTTCGTCGGGTTTCTTTTGATGGGCTCGGACCACCTCCCTAGTTATTTCCTATTATTGGTGCAAGCCGCGAATAAGCGCGTATGAGGCGGTAGGACATGTTTTTACATTTTTTCACAAAAAAACCATGTACATTCGTATCTCAGTCAATTATCATTCGTTTTTCGTCGTTCTTTTTTGTACATGCTTGTATTAACGCCCTCATTTTTTCATATTATTGGCGCACATCGCGAATGAGGGTGTATGAGGCGGTGGGATGTTTTTTCACATTTTTTCACACAAAAACACATGTACATTCGTATCTCTGTCAAATCTTGTTCGTTTTTCGTCAAGTTTTTTTCAATGAGCTCTTCCAAACAGCTTCTCTATACCGTATTATTAACCTTAGTCATCAAACAGCTTGTATGAGGCCGTGGACACTTTTCCCACACTCAAAACACGCGCTGGCATGGGCCACACCCCATATCTCTCTCAGTTTTCAACCGTTTTGCATGGGGTTTTTTGCGATGGGTTCATGCCAACGTCCTCTCCATTCGTTATTATTGCCTCACTACAGGTCATCCAATGCAATGGCAAGATGCCACCTTGAGGCCTTGAGTGTGGGAAAAGCTTATATAATTACTTGGAATCAATACATTCAACCTGACTTCATTGTAGATTAAATAAGCTTTCTGCAGAATCCTCGCCGGCACAGGAACAGGTAGCAGGGTTTCCGGTGGCAGCATCGTCATTGCTAGCTGAACGCTTCTGGTCTATTCCAATAGAGGCACGCTTCTGGTGAGAAGAAACCGTGAGAGCGCCAAGGGCGGGGTCTCGAAATAAATACACGAAATTATGTAATGTAAAGATAAGTCCGTCTGGGGACATGTGGTCGGATATTATGCTGCCGGTTTTTCGAAAAGGAGGGGGATTCCGCCTTTCGGGGCGGACGTTATCTCTTGGGGTCGGGGGTCTATTCAGTTGGAGCTTTCTTCTCGTATGCTCCGCTCGCGCTAAGGAAACGCGCTGCTCTTAAACTACCGTCTTCCTCACCGAAAAGGTCTGCTAGGTTCAGGTCTCCGTCATTGCCTCGGAGAAGGTAGAAACCGAGTACCGCTGGTCTGATGCTTCCTTCTTAATCGAGTCAACCGTTTGGTGGCAAGAACATGTGTCGAGCCCTAGCTCAACGTCCTTTGTTTGAGGGGATTGTAGAGGCTTGCTGATCGAGTGTTGCCAAGGATATATTTGAACAGTAACTGGCAGACGGACGTGGATGGACGTCGTATCGATCATGCTCACCAGTTCTGGCCTGTCAGGATACTCTATCCTATCTCTTTTACGGTGGAAATGCGACTTCGTCATGCCCGGGATATGACCTTCTGAAATTGAGTTGCACCTCCTGGTCAGGTAGCTGCGACCTCTACAACCTCATGTCAACAGTTCGCAAGGTCTCTGCACGTTTGCTGATGCTTTTTGGTGGCATAGAACAAGATCTGCCAATTTGAAATCCTAGTGGGTTGGATTATTCCGTGAGTCCTTCATAATCAATGCGCCGCACATCTTCTTCTTCAAATGGATCATCGGATCTGGATATCGTTCTCTCTGCTGGATCGTCCCAATGCCGCACATATGAGCCCCTAGTCTCTCAATTTCTCCTGGGTAAGCATGCATGTCTCCTGATCGGCATTTGTCAACTCTTTCGCTTCCTCTGAACAAAAGATTCTTCACCACAAGACTCAGCTGACTCTGGTCATTGATCTAGCCGTTGTGACTGGTAGTACGTGTCATCTCCCCTGGATCGTTCCAATATAGCGCATCTATGAGCGCTTAGTTTTTCAATTCTCTCTGGGTCAGCATGCATGTCTTCTGATCAGCATTCATCAACTCCTTCGCTTCCTTTGAACATGAGATTCTTCACCATGAAACTTGCCTGAGTCCGGCCATTGATTTAGCAGTGGTTGACGACAGTCCGGCGCCTGCGGACTGCCAGCTCGCAGACCATGATCCCCGAGCCTTCACGGGTCCCTACCGTCTCCCCTGGGTCTGGATCCGTCCCCGACCTCATGCTCTCCCCCACCCGCCAAACTCCCACCTCCATAGTCCCAGGGGGAGTGTGTATTCGTTGAAGACTCTGCGCTGGCCGCTCTGGCAAGCGCAATCCTTCTTCAGCCCAGTAGACATACTGGGCTGCACCATCTGTGATCTGCTGATATAGCCGATCGACTCCCTTCATACCTGAAGGGAGGCCGCAATTATAAGGAGAGGATCAAGATCTTCTCCGTCGGAATGGGGAGGCTGTGCTCCTTTCGCTGCTATGGAATAGCAGCCTCATTCTAAGAAGCTTCTCAGCATCTACTAAGGAGCTTCACCACTCGCTGACGCGTCCCACATGCCCGATCCTCCCGCACCCGGCTATGTCGGGCTTTCCATTGCTCAAGGCCACGAAAACAGCCTTGAGACTCCTTGAGTAACCGCTGGAGATCGCGGCTTACACACACTTTCGCGGCCCTTAGCGACCGCGAAAAACTCGCGCGATTTTCATCGCGCGGATGACTGAGTGGGCCTCATAGCCCATTCCCCCTCGTTCAGAGAGGCTAAAGATGGTTCCTACGATCATCTCCCCACCGGATTTACACCAGAATGAGGGCGGCTCAGCTTCTGCTGAGTGCCAGTTCGCGGAAGCGCGTCGCGCTTCGTCAATTTCAGGGCCAGTTGAATAAACTGCCCCTGTCCTTCCACCCCCCATCCCCACTCATTAGGGGTGTGTAGAGACAGCCTATATGACCGTCCCCCCGCTGGTTTTACGCCAGAGCAAGGGCATTTCAGCCCCTGCTGACCGCCAGCTCATGGAAGCGCGTGCGCTCCATCATTTTCAGGGCCCGTAAAATTTGCGGCCCCTACTTCCTCTCACGATGAGAGGCTCTAGATGGTCTGTACCATCATATCTCTACTGATTTTACACCAGCAGTACAGCTCCCCAGCTTCTGCTGAGAGGCGGCTCATGGAAGGGCCTGCGTTTCACCATGTTCAGGGCCTATAAAACTCACAGCTCCTACTTCCTTCCCCTCATCCAGAGAGGTCACATACGGTCTATCCAACCGTATTTCTACCGGTTTTATGCCAGTATTACAGCTCTTAGCTTTCGCTGAGAGCTGACACATAAAAGCGCGTCCGAAACCATGGAGGCAGGGTTTTGCATTACATGATGGAGAATCGGTTTTCAGTACACATGCTACTGCCCATGAGTGCCAGATCATATGGCCAACAGGTGCCAAACGGTCACCATGGTTATCGTCGATATTCCAATACTTCTGACAGCCAGCAAAACTCCCATTTGCTCCTCCCGAGGCTTAACATATTTCAGCCAAGGTCTGTCTGAGACGTGAAGGGGATTATACCGTCGAACAAATCATGAATAAGGTCTATTTATATCGAAGCCGCTTTCACTCCATATTCTGCAACGATGTGCTGCATCTTCGCATTTCGGCGTCACGGCATGATTGTAGCTGACAGAAAAGCAGGAGCAATGTAAGGAGCAGAGATTCCAGGCAGACCTTGTAAGCAAGGTAATACATGCGAGTACCTAGGGGAAAATCCATTCAGATCAACCTTGTAGCTAGGAGCTTCGATTCATGAAGCCGGCGCTGGAGCTGTCGTCGTAGTCGCTGAAGGTGCGGCATTGGTCAATAATTCCTTGCGCCGCCAGAAATGATATATGGAAAGCGCGATAAGAATGGATCCAACGATAGCGCACAGGGCAGTTATCACATGTGCCACATGAGGGCTAAGGTTCCGAAGGGTGAGGCATTGCGGGTGATAAGACACGTGAAACGAACACGTACATGGCAATCAGGCCGTTTGCTGCTTGCGCCTCCAGCGTGACATTTCGGAAATACGGTGGCCCAATGATAAACGTGGAAGGGGCGAGGGTTGCTTGAAATAATTTCTGTAGTGAAGACATTGGATAAAGTAGATATTGCATATTTCGCATCACTTACAACGGCGTCCTCGGCAAGTCCAACCACGGAGTTTGCGTCCCCGAGAGTGTTGTCCTGTAGTGATATTATTTCAACCCCAATCTTGAATAAACCCGCAAGGTTCATGATCGAACCAGCCAAGGCAAAGCTGATCGCGTCTCCGATGCCTTCCACCCGGGGATCACTGCTTGGCCAGCCTATCCTGGAACCGCATGTCGGTATGAGTGCGAATACGCTTGCTCGAACGCCTTACCCGCTGGGACCCCAACTGAGGAATGAGACGTTACCTCGATCCACGACATCGGAAATGAATGGGGTGTCATAATTGAATGTAAGTGTGGCGGTGAGATCGTGCTCCGCTATCATGCTGTAGCAGAAGACCATCGAGTAGCTCGATGTGTTTTTGAGGAAAGAGAATGCCACGGGAGAAAACCACGGGTCACTAGAGTCTGAGTAATTGTTACCAGGGTCGATGCTTCGTACACATCCAAAAGGGGCGGGGACCATCCAGCCGTCCCATATTGTGCCATTGGTGATGACATTGGACGTGGCGGAGCAGTTATGGGAAAGAGTCCCCGTTATGTTGTACCTGTTGGCGGTGTCCGGACCCGATATTACTGGTGATGGAACTGGGGCACATCTGGCTTGCACCGACAATCCCCTGAATGTGAGGTTCACGTCCCCATCTAGGGCAGGGTCAACGAGCTGAAGGCAACAATGATCAAAGGCAGCATAGCGATGAGCTGATAACGATTACCCACAGCAGAATCCGGCACCACCCAGGTGTTTCCAGTCTTGGTGTCGTTCAAGGTAAATGGAGAATACAGAGCACCGATCCGGCCTAGAGAGATAACTCAGTACCTGTTGACGAACTCCTTATGATCTTGACTAACTGACGGCACCCACAAACTGGAACGTTGGATCAGCTGTCATTGGTGAAAGTACACAATAGAATCACGCACCCCTGCAGCATCCACGAACGGGGTGAATCCGACATCATCATAGCCCAGGCCCGTGTGACCTGCGATACGCATTTGCACTTCCTGCGGCAGGGACACCGAAACAACTTGGAAATATGCTCCAGCCAGGGAATGGAAAATGCTACCGCTGATCGCGATGCGAGAGAGTATGAAGACCGCCAAACGGTGCAGCCTGGAATTAGAAAGACAGCCCAAATCGGACCACGAAAACAAGTATGAACTGCGAACTGCGAACAGGCACAATCGAATTTAGAATCACACCTGTTCGCTTCGAAGGGCTATCACAGTGCACATTAGCATTATTAAACAACTATGAGCGATTAGCCATACTTTGAGCAGTGCGATAACATAGGGCTCTTTGAACCAATAGAATAATGGACCGAAAAGAAGAGATGGAACAAATGACTGAGGAACCCCTTTTTCAGTCACCGGTCATGAAGTAGGAAAGCCATACATGCCTTCAGGAACTGTTTAGCGCGAGAGCGTCCGTAGTCGCTTAGGTTGATTTCAAATCCTAGCGAGGATGAATGAGCCTGACTGTTCATACACCAGAGTCGGTAGTTTCTACCTATTCCATTGCGGGTGTGGTTTAATAGAACTTCCGATCCGACAGCAATAGCAATGAAGACTAGGCCCAACGGGAAAGTTTTACTCCACCAATGCGACTTGGGTAGCTCCAATGTTTCAGGGTGGTCCTTGTATTTGCCTTTCTGAGATGGGCGTGGGTCGCTCTCATCGATCTGAGCCTTTTCCACATCAGTTATCTCCACAGGATATCCTAGACGACGGGTGAATGGAGGTGCAGCAGCGGTGAGTTTATCATACTCACCACTACCAGTATCATCAGGTGTAAGCATTTGTAGGTAGATGTCGGCTACGGAAATAGATCAATGATACAACGCTTTAGCAAAGAAACAGACGCTAACCGCTTTGATCTGCCATCGTTCCGGGGGTGGGGGGGGTGGCAAGACTCAATCACTCTCTCAGTTGGCTTTTATCCTTTATGAACTTTACATTTTAGAGAGAAAAATGGAGCAATGGTTGAACCCAGGAACCCCATTCGCCTTATCTCAGCAAAAAGGAGAAAGAGGCGCCCGTTGTAATGCTCCCCTAACCATTAGAAGATGCCGTGAAGGGTATTTCATTTTTCGCTGCAATGAACACCTCAAGTAAGATATTAATAGACCAACATTCATCTTAGGTGATCGATATGGGATTCGAACCTGGGGTGGTACCGGCGGCCAGCATTCAAGATGTCCGGTTTGATGGACCATGTGGAAAGACACCGCCACCCACCATTCAACCAGGCACGTAATTACGGTACCCCCTCAATGCACACTAACTTCTTGCTTTTCCAGTGCCTCTCATAGGCACTGCTCCTTGACAAGTGGATATAATTCACTTCGAATAAGTTCGTGCGTATAAATATCAACATTTTCGCCAAAGAAGAACGAAAAGCGAAGAAGAAATGAGGGGGAAGGGCGATTTTTGAGCCCAAATCCTCACGCCCACCCAATGCAACAATGCCTTCAATACCATGATAATGAATCTACCAATGGACCTGGGTAGGTGGACTGAGGACTGACGCTCCAAGTATGCTAACGACAAAATAAACATTTGTCGAATAATTTCTTGTTGGACAGTTCACCGTGGGAGAATATCCATAATGTCTGTGCACGACCACCCTCGATGGGTCTCTAATTTTGTAACATACCATCTTGTAATGACTTGTGCCAATATTAAGTGGAAGTTGCAATATTGACATTGACAGCAACACAATGAATTACGTTGTTTTACGTCATCGCAAGGTAAAATTTTGTCCTTTACTTACTACGAAAAATGAATTATCGGGGAAAAGTTGAAGTTCGGGCCCTGCTATGTAGCATTGTTCTTATGGATTAGGAGGCATTGCCATTGTCAGATCGGACAACTATTTATAAATTTACACACACATCACAAACAATATTCAATACCCCCCATGAATGAATTCCCTAGCCAACTTCTCGATCTGGATTCCGGAGACTCAAGTGCCTGTAGAGAAACATGAAGGACACATGCAATGACCATGAATCGACCTCAACGCTGACTCTAATTAACAGGCTCCTACTCCTCATGCATCTCTGTTGACAGGAAAGGCTGTGCTTTCCTCATCGAGAACTCAATGCTTGGGAGTATGTAGATACTGCGCTAATTCCTTTTTGTCAATCTGAGTGCGGTCAGGGTTCACAACTTTCCCCGATATTTCATTTTTCGCAATGCCCTATGGTGTCCACGAAGGTGACTAGGTTTGAATGAGGGAGAAGACCTCCAGCCTTATCTCGGAGCCACCGGTACGCCCACCTCAATCCTCTGCTTTCTACTGTACTGCTGCCTCCAGGGTCTATCCTCCAATAGAGAGCTATCAAATTGGCTTTGAGTTCTTTGCAGAATATTCTCGCCGGCACAGGAGCAGGTAGCAGGGTTTCCCGTAGTAGCATTGTCATTGAAGGTGCTGCTAGCTGAGCGCTTCTGGTGAGAAGAAACCGAGTACCGCTGATGCTTCCTTGTTAATTGGGGCGGCCGTTTGCGTGGATGGGCATCGCATCGTGCTCGCCAGTTCTGGCGTGTCATGGACGTGCCTATCGGCATATGCCGTACCATAGCGAAAAATGTTTGGAGAGTAGCCAGTGGATGGAGAGGAGTCATAAGGACATGCGTCCCCTGAGAAAATAGTAACAAACGATGTGGAGATTCTGGCGTGTCAGGGATACTAGCACTCTATTCTATCTCTTTTATGTCAGGTGGAGAAGTGCGAAAGTCATCGACATTCATCTATGTCAACAGTCTGCAAGGTCTCTGGTTATAGAACAAGAACAAGATTTGCCAATTTGAAATCCTGAGTGGTTTGGATCATTCCGTGAGTCCATTTATATGTAATCAATGCGCAGCACGTCTTCTTCTTCAAATGGATCGTCTTAATATTGCGCGTCTATGAGCCCCTATTCTTCTCGGTCAGCACGCACATCTCCCGATCAGCATTCGTCAACTCTTTCGCTTCCTCTGAACAAAAGATTCTCCACCACAAGACTCAGCTGACTCTGGCCATTGATCTAGCAGCTGTGGCTGGTAGTACGTGTCACTTCCCCCCTGGATCGTCCCAATATCGTGCATCTATGAGCGCTTAATTTTTCAATTCTCTCTGGGCCAGCATGCAGGTCTTCTGATCGGCATTCATCAACTCCTTCGCTTCTTTTGAACATGAGATTCTTCAACCACGAAACTCATCTGAGTCGGGCCATTGGTCTAACAGTTGTGGTTGGTAGAACCCTCCCCGGAAAGTGGTTCTACATCTTGTAATACGGAAATTCCGGTTTGAATGGCGCCTCGGTGCAGCCACAACCACAAGGGTTCTTGATCATCACTAGTATGCCTTCATGCAGCAAATGGGTTTTATTTGAGAGATCCGAAACAATCCAAGCGACTGTCTTTCAGATTGGCGACAGCCCGGCGCCTGCGGACTGCCAGTTCACGGACCATGATCTCCGAGCCTTCACGGGCTCCTACCGTCTCCCCTGGGTCTGGATCCGTCCCAGACCCGACCTCGTGCTCTCCCCCACCCGCCAAACCTCCATAGTCCCGGGGGGAGCGTGTATTCCTTGAGAACTCTGCGATTGCCGCTCTGGCAAGCGCAATCCTTCTCCAGCCCAGTAGACATACTGGGCTGCACCATCTGCGATCGGCTGATATAGCTAATCGACTGCCTTCATACCTGAAGGGAGGCCGCGATTATAAGGAGAGGATCAGGTAAAGATCTTCTCTCCGTCGGAATGGGGAGGCTGCGCAGACTGTTATCCAGTCTGCATCCCTTTCGCTGCTATCGACTAGCAGCCTCGTTCTGAGAAGCTTCGCCACTTGCCGACACGTCCGACGCGCCAGATCCTCCCGCACCCCACTATGTTGGGCTTTCCATTGCTCAAGGCCACGAAAACAGCCTTGAGACCCCTCTAATAACCGCTGGAGATCGCGGTTTACACACAATTTCACGGCCCTTAGCGACCGCGAAAAACTCGCGTGATGAAACTCGCGCGGATCACTTAGTCCACTCCTTCCCCTTCCCCCTCGTTCAGATGGTTCCAACGATCCTCTCCTCATCGGATTTATACCGGAATGAGGGCGGCTCAGCCTCTGCTGAGTGCCAGTTCGCGGAAGCGCGTCGCGCTTCATCGATTTCAGGGCTAGTTGAATAAACTGCCCCTGTCCTTCCACCCCCCACTCCCACTCATTAAGAATGTGTAGAAACTGTTTATACAATCGACTCATCGTTGGTTTTCGTCAGGGAAAAGGCTTTTCCCTGCTGAAGCGCCAGCTCATGGAAGCGCGTGAGCTCCATCATTTTCAGGGCCCGCAAAATTCGCGGCCCCTACTTCTTTCGCTCATGATGAGAGGTTCTAGATGGTCTATACGACTATCTTCCTATTGGTTTTATACCAGCAGTACAGCTCTCCAGCTTTGGTTGAGAGCTGGCTTGTGGAAGCGCCTGCGCTTCACTATGTTCATGGCTTATAAAACTTACAGCCCCTACTCCCTTCTCCTCATCCGGTGAGGTTATATACGGTCTATCTGACCGTATTTTACGCCAGTATTACAGCTCTTAGCATTTTCTGAGAGCTGACAGAAAAAAAGCGCGTCCAAAACTTCTCTCAACCATGGAGCCAGGGTTTCGTATTACATGATGGAGAATTGGTTTTCAGCACACATGCTACTGCCCATAAGTGTCAGACCATATGGCCAACAGCCGCCAAACGGTCACCATGATTATCATCGATATTCCAATACTTCTCATAGCGAGCAAAACTCCCATTTGCTCCTCCCGAGGCTTAACATATTTCAGCCAAGGTCCGTCTGAGACGTGAAGGGGAATTGTTCATGGATCATATCATCGAACAGATCATGAATGACATCTATTTTCGAATATCTATATTGAAGCCGCTTTCGCTCCTTTAGAAGCACCCATATTCCGCAACGATGTGTTCGCATTTCGGCATCACGACATGACTGTAGCTGACAGAAAGGCATAAAGAATTTCAGGAGCAGAGATTTCAGGCAGACCTTACAGGCAAGGTAATACTTAGGGGGGAAAAATCCATTCGAATATATTCCGTAGCTGCCGATGTGAGGCTACCAGGGCAATTAACTGCACGCTTGCCACATATCTCTACCAGCAAGTTGAAGCATCAACATCCCAACAACCTTGTAGGAGCCTCGATTCATGCAGCCAGCGCTGGAACTGTCGTGGTCACTGAAGGTGCGGCATTGGCCCATAATTCCTTGCGCCACCACATGGAATGACGTATGGAGAGCACGACAAGAACGAGTCCGACGATGGCGCACATGACAGTTATTGCATGTGCCACAGGAGCGCTAAGGTTCCAAAGCGTGAGGCATTGCGGGTGATAAGACACATGAAACACGTACATGGCAACCAAGCTGTATGTCTCCACGTACTGTGTGGCATTTCCTAGATACGATGGCCCAACGATAAACGTGGAAGGGGCGAGGGTTGCTTGAAATAATCTCTGTAATGGAAACATTGGAGAACATAGACCCTGTACATTTCGGATCACTTACAACGGCCTCCTCGGCATATCCAACCACGGAGTTTGCGTCCCTAAGAATGCTGTCCTGTAATGATGTGTCTATTTCACCCCCAATCTCATCTAAACCTGCAGAGTTCACGATATGGAACCAGCCAAGGCAAAGCGGATCGCGTCTCCGATGCCTTCCACCCGGGGATCACTACTTGTCCAGCCTGTCCTGGAACTGCATGTCAGTATGAGTGCGAATAGGCTTGCTCGGAACGCCTTACCCGCTGGGACCCCAACTGAGGAATGAGACGTTACCTCGATCCGCGACATCGGAAATGAATGGGCCGTCATAGCTGAGCACGAGTTTAACGGTGAGATCGTGCTCCTCTATCATGCTGTAGCAGAAGACCATCGAGTAGCTCGATATGTTTTTGAAGGAGAATGCCACGGGAGAGAAAAATAACGGGTCACTTGGGACTGGGTAGTTGTTACCAGAGTCGATACTGTGCCATTGGAGATGACATTGGACGTGGCGGAGCAGTTATGGGAAAGAGTCCCCGTCATGTTGTACGAGTCGGGGGTGTCCGGACCCGATATTACTGGTGATGGAACCGGGGCACATCTGGCTTGCACCGACAATCCCCTGAATGTGAGGTTGACCTCCCCACCTTGGTCAGCTGCACCTGGATCA